AGACTTTGAATCCAGGTAGCTCTTAAAACATTCTGCTGTGTAATTCTATTGCTGCACTTAATACACTATGTTGCCAATTATCTATTTCCAAGTCTTCTTCAATACTGTGTCTGAAAGCACAGACCTGTCTTATTTGTTCATCTCTGTATCCCCATTACTTGGGGGTCTCAGTCTGATGGACTTCCTTTGTGCTCACTGGGCCATGGAAGAGATCTCCAACTGTGACCAGCCAAGCCAGAAATTTTCTCATGAGCCTGGCACTGAAGACTCACTAGGTGGTCTAGGATGTAAGTAAATCAAATACAGCAGCCATCTGCAGTCATTCCTAAGAAAGAGGCCCTCATCTGAATGTACAGTAAAAAAAGAATATCATTCCACAAGAAACTCCACAAACTAAGAATTGGAAACCAAATCTCTAAAGCAAAATAAGTGAGGCAGAATCCAGAAGCAACTATTTTTGGTTCAGGAAAGGTAACTCTGAGGACTCTGAGGCTTTGCCAACCATCAGTTAATGAGGAGAAGTCAAATCGGTGAGAGTCTGGGCAGGTGACTTACAGCTGTGGGCAGTCGGCAGTGGAGTGCCCGTTATCTAACACATAGCAGTGACCGAGAGCCTAGTCCCAGAGTACAATTCTGGGATGTGAATCTGGCCATGCCCCTGACTACTGTATGACCCTGGGCAGATTCTTTAACCTCTCAGTGCCTTAGGATTCACATCTATAAAACAAGGATAGTAAGAGATCCCATGTTATAAGGTTGTTGTGAGGATTAAATGAGTTATATGTACGAGTCAAATGCTTAGCACAATACCTGGCACACAGTAAGGGTCCAATAAACACGAGCTATTATTCTTCCGGCTTATTTACGAACATAGGCAGAGAACTGGTGGTATGCAAGGCACATTATCACAAACACCGATCGCGTTTACCCCTACACAGTGGGCATCAATGGTTTTTCACTGAATGAATGAATGGCAAAGAGACTAACTCCTGAGACTTTTTTTTCGGCTTTTTTTTTTTTTTTCTGTCTTTTTGTCTTTTTTCGTGCCCGGCAACCCTCAGTGTCGCACCCGTACCGGACCGGGACCGGCAACGGGATCGCAACCCTCGGTGTTGCCCCCGCTCCTCGCTCAGCCAGTGAGCGGCTGGTCCGTATGTGGGATCCGAACCGTCGGCAGGAGCGCCACCGCGCTTCCCAAGCGGCGCACTGTAGCAGTGCGCCACCGGGCCGGCCCCATTTTTTCGGCTTTTATTCAAGGAGAGACACTGGAATAGTTATCAGAAGTAAGGCTCTATTGTCAAGAGGACCGGACCAGTAAACTCTTTAATTCAGCATTCTATTAATGAGATCACTGTATGACAAACATCAACTGTGTGTTCATTATAATCAGTCTGAGGTATTGTATAAATCCTTTTGTGTCTTAGGAATTACCAATGGTTACATTATTTCCAATGAAGTTTTAAAAATTAAGTATATGTTACTGCATTCAAATGCTTTAAATACTGGAAATCCATGTAGATCATAAGTGGCAACAATGAATTAACTAGAGTATTCTGATGAATAACAAGACTTTCTTCACACCTCTGTACCCACACAGTATTGTTATCCATTCAAATTCTCCATTTCCCACTAGACTGTGAACTCTTTTTGTGCCTGGTGCTTTTGTATCCCCAGTGCCTGGGATACATTAATGCTTAGTAAATATCTGCCAAATAAATAAACAGGGACTGTTTCATGACCACAACACATCATAGTTTTTAGTCCAGCAACATATTCTTTTGGTGAACTTATACTTCCACAACACAATAAAATACTCATATCCTCAAGATTATTTAAATACAAACATCGACATTTTAAAATATGGTATACTTAAAGAAAATCATTCTTCAGAGCCCTAAAGTTTAAGACTAAAAGACTTAACAGAATCCATACTCTTTTTGGTTGACATTCCTGAACAAGCTATAAAGCATATTTTTGAAAAGTCCTTTTTAATTTACATGGTTTCTAATTCAATCAGATTAAAGCCATTGATTTTCTTATAAGAAATTATTAAAGGTTTACCTATATGTCAGACATTTCATCATACTATTGTATTATGAATGGTGGTACCTGCTTGAAGGAGAGGAGGTAGGAAGGAAAAAGGATGAAAGTATGTTAGGAAAAGTGAGGTTGGGAGCTCACTTGGGAGAGTGTGGTGCTGACAACACCAAGTCAATGGTTGAGATCCCCTTACCAGTCATCTTTAAAAAAAAAAAAAAAAAAAGGGACTGTCATTCCCCCTACACACTATGAAAATGGTATTAGGCTCAGGAACCTGTTGTGGACTCATATCAGAAAGAAAACAGATTCAAAAAGAAAGCCAGCTTATCATTACCTGCACTCTTACACAAATGCTAAAACAGCCAATGTATTGATAAGAAAGGTGGGTCTGTAGCAGGTAATATCTGAGCATAAGGCAGCTCCCCTTTCAGTTCAGTACCCTTACCCCATCACATTCCACTGGGAGTCTTAATTCACATGGAGGTCTAAATCATAGAGACTACTCTAAAGTTGTACCCCTTACTGGGATACTTGAAGTGTAACAGGGATTAAAACTTCAGCAAAAGGATCTTGACTTTAAAGGTGGAAGTTTAGACTTCGTCCTATGAGTAGGAGGGGGTTGGGTGTCTGGATTCAAGTAGGGATGCCAAAGACAACTTCCTGTCCTTCACAACTTTGCCTGTGATCAGCTCCATTTTCTTGGTTTGGAGGTGGGATTGGGAGGAGCGGATGGGGAAGAAAGGATTCTGGGAAAGTATACTCTGATTTTGCCCCATGAGTAGGATTCCCCCAAAGAATATTGGGCAGAAAATGGTTCTATAAAATGGACATTACCTACCTCTTAGCACTATTTCTGAGGATTAAATGAGATAATATTTTACAGTATTTAACATACTACCAGGTACATAAGGCCTGATAAGTGTTTGGTATTTCACTGATATGTACCAACAATGATGAAAATAATCCTCCAAAGAAATTTGTTCGCAGACTGTTAGGAACACCAGCAACTCTGCTGAAATCCATAAGCTGCTCATGATACACAGCAAAAAAAAGTTCTCTTTTTTTAAGACATATCACTTTAGCAGTTACTGTGGCAACATGTAATTTTAAATCGTTCCAATACCCAGCAACCATAATCTTATTATGTTTTGCCAGTCAAAACATCCCCTCAGTGTGTGTTCTAGTTGAGTTTAACTATCTCATCTATTAAATATGGCTTTCCTGTCCTCTTACGTTGTGACATCTCACTGGAGAAGTGCATCTCCCTTATCAGCCTTCTCCTGTCTCAGACTCACAGTTCTGATAAGGGCTGAAGGTTCCTACTTCTTGATCTTCAGTTGTCAAAAGCATGTTTATCAGAGCAAGAGTCCTGAAATAAAAGAATAAGGGAACCCAGGTGGAAGGGAGAGTCTCCTCTATGACCAACAGCCATATTTTAATATTAAATAAGGAAGTAGACAGCTGGCTGGTTAGCTCACTCAGTAGAGCATGGTGCTGACAACACCAAGGTCAAGGGTTCAGATCCCCCTACCAGCTAGCTGCCAAAATAAAACAAAACAAAGAAAGCAAGAAAGAAATGTCAGAAAATTAATCAGGAATGGCACCAGTCTACCACCTAGATTAACTTATCCCACTGAAGAGATAAGTGTTTAAGAGACCCAAGCAGAGGCAATCAGGTGTGATGAGGTAAAAGGTAACTAAAAAAATGTGAAGAAACCAGGTTTACAAAAATACCAAAGCATAGCTTCAATTCAGACACAGCTCTGCCCTGGAAACTCCACTGGCACAGCCACCAAGTTCAATCTGGCAGGCATTGTCACCACAAAAACAAAAGACATGGGTAGAGGAGACATAGGTCTGTTTCAGGGCAGTACCGTACATTAAAAAACGAAAAGGTTTGGAAGATACATGCTATGAACCAATTGCATGGCAGGTATCCAGAATTCTCATACCATTTATCATACCATTATCTATGGACTTCGTGACACTGAGCAGCTAGTCATCAGGAACTGTTAGGTAATGGGATACCATATTTGGTTCCAGCACCAAAACAAGGTAGGATAAGAAAACTGGGGTGGGAAAGGAGACCATGCTCCTTATTCAGAATTTTATTTTATAGTGGAAAAGATAAAAATTTTCTTAGTGCAGAGGCACTCAACTTCAGAATACTGGTGTTCTTCTGCAAAAAGCAAATAATGTAGAAAACTATTTCTCCCAATGAATAGATATTTCCTTGCTTTGTTTTAATTACATACCATTTTCTTAAATTTTTGGCATTTGCTATTTCTTGGTTGCAAGCATCCAGAAGCAGCTGACAAATGTATAAAATAAGTATAAACACAACTTTTTTTTATTGTGTTAGTTGCTCAAGTTTTTCTTATTTTTGTGGTCTTGTTTGTGGGTATAATTTTGGATTGCCTAATATATAACTTCTGTGCTAGAAAAAACTTTAATCATGTACATGTACTGCTTTTATTTAAAAATTAATTTAAGAAAAAAAGAAACATTTCATGCCCCCAAAATTGACATTAACCTTTTCTGTCTCAGCTGTACCCCTATAATCCTCATTTAATTTGTCAATATAATTTGCCATACGATGGTCAATAAATGCCTGCTAAGTGGGCAGTAAAACTCTGAGGGCAAAGCCAGTCTTTCAAAAGCTTATAATCTGGCTGGCTGGTTAGCTCAGTTGGTTAGATCATGGTATTGTTAACACCAAGGCCAAGGGTTCAGATCTCCATACCGGCCAGATGCCACCCCCACACACCACCACCATCAAGAAAAAGGTTGAAAAAAAAAATTTGGTTGGGGAAACATATCTTGAAATTTTGGAAAGGTGTTCAATTTTTAATTATTTTAAAAACAAATAAAAGAAACATTAATTAATAACCATGATTTTGTCCATTTCTCATATGAATATCACTAAGGTAAAATAAGCTAATAATGAAAACTGCCATCTTACTATAAACTTAAATTGCTCTCCTTTTATTAATGTGTGTTTGAACGTGAAACATGATCACCTGTTAAAAAAAGACAGCTTTGTTCTTGATAATTTCAGAATATGAAACTTTTTGGCTTTTTATTCCTTTAAAGAGGGTCTGTAATTGACTGTTGTTTTTCTTGCTATATTATTCACTTTGGATCTGCATTACCTTGGCTCCTCAGAGATACAGGAAGGACAGAGTCCTAATTTAGAAAACATACCCTAATTTTACACTTTAAAAATTAATACTTAAAACAAAAACCTCTCTTAACTCCCTAACCCTATACCCATCATGAATAATCTATTTTAATACAAGTTAAATCTATAAATAAATTTGTTCTTTCCCCTCAAAAAACACTTAAGAAACTTTACAAGAATTATAGGTTTAAAATATTTACCAAGAGTAGTGAAAGTATCAGTCATTTACCCCTATTAACATATGGTGGTCAAGCATTCCAGAATCATTGGCCTTTGCTTAGCATCACCCTTCAGTTGTCCCATTAGCATGCTGGCTGGGAGTCTTCTTAATCACTCTTTTCTTCTCCTTGATAATGTCTGTACTCTGGCTTCAGCTCCCATGTGTTTTTGTGGATCCCTTTTACATTCTGAATACCAATTTCTTTCAAGATTTCCTTCAGGTACCCCTACAAAAAAACACCAAAACCCACCACATGAGATTATGAAGGCAGGAAACAAAATTTAAAACAATATACCAAAGCACATTTATGAGTAATAAAAATTACGACCCTGAAAGCTCAATTAGATTTCTATATAGAGTTCCAATAAACTACCTTTTGAATCTACACATGCAATATATGATAAATGCATTAAATATATGATCATTCACATAAAAGAAATACAAATACACTAGAAAATACTAGATGAAAATACACTAGAGAGAGGCAAGATAAAGATGGCCATGTAGAAGAAACCACCACTTGTCTTTCCCACAAAGACAGACAAAACATGAATAAACAACTACCTTTGGATGAAAATAACTAAAGGAGAGCACCAGAGAACATCAAAGGAATAACAGAAATGCTAGTGAGCAAGGAACTCAGGACAGGCACAGAAACAGAAGGAAACATCTGGCCTCCATCTCCCCATCCCCCAGACAGGATCAGCTGGGAACCAGGAGAAACTTCTCTCTGTGGGGGAAAAAGTAAGCAAGAGGACCTCAGCAGCCTTCATCAATCCCTTAGACTCCTGCCGCCACTGCATTTGGCCTCACAGAGACTGAGGCAGTCTCACTGTCCCAGGGGCTAGAGTCACCACTATATAGTGCCTCACCCCTAGGAAACATGAAAAAGCAAGGAAATATGACACCACCAAAGGAAAACAATAATATGCCAGTGATGGACTGCAAAGAAAAAGATATCTACAAACTGCTGGAAAAGGAAGTTAAAATAATAATCTTAAGAAAACCCAACTAGATACAAGAGAATACAGACAGACGATTTGACAAAATAAGGAAAATAATTCATGACATGAACAAGAAATTCAACAAAGAGATTATCATTAAAAAAAAAAAAAAAAAAAAGAAAGAAAGAAACAAATGGAAGCTGGCCAGTTAGCTCAGTTGGTTAGAGTATGGTGCCAATAACACCAAGGTCTGGGGTTCAATCCCTGTACCAGCCAGCAAAAAAAAAAGGGGGGGGACCAAATGTAAATCCTGCAGCTGAAGAATTCAATGAATGAAAGAAAAACACAATACAGAGCTTCAACAGCTGACTAGAGCAAGCAAAAGAAAGACTCTCTGAACTTGGGATAGGTCATTTGAAATTACCCACTCAGACCAAAAAATAAAAATAAAAAATAAAAAAGTTTAGAAGAAAACCTATGGGAATTATGGGACACCAGTAAGTGAACAAATATTTGAATTATGGGCATTCCCGAGGAGAAGAGAAGGGGAAAAGCATTGAAACCTATTTAAGGGCTGGCCCATGGCTCACTCAGGAGAGTGTGGTGCTGATAACACCAAGGCCCTGGGTTCGGATCCCATATGGGGATGGCCGGTTGGCTCACTGGGTGAGTGTGGTGCTGACAACACCAAGTCAAGGGTTAAGATCCCCTTACTGGTCATCTTTTTTTAAAAAAAAAAAAAAAAAAACCTATTTAATGAAATAATTGCTGAAACCTTCCCAATCTTGGGTGAGATACAGACATACAGTTCTGCCACTTAAAGGTCCCCGAATAGATTCAACCCAAAAAGTTTCTCCCCAAGGCACATTATAGTCAAAATGTCAAAAGTCAAAGAGAGAATTCTAAAAACAGCAAGAGAAAAGTGTCAGGGCACATATAAGAGGATCCTCATTAGATTAACAGCAGATTTCTCAGCTGAAACCTTATAGACCAGGAGAGACTGGAATGATATATTCAAAGTTCTGAAAGAAAAAAGTTGCCAGCCAAGAATACTATACCAAGCAAAGCTATCCTTCAAGAATGAAAGACAAATAAAGTTTTCCATAGACAAGCAAAAACAGGGAATTCATTACCATTAGACTGACCTTAAAGAAATCTATATGTGGAAGCAAAAAGATACTAATTATCACCAAGAAAACACATAAACGGTACACAAGCGGGAAAGAGAAAAGAATCGAACCTTATCTCCTCAAAAAACCACCAAACTGCAATGATAAAAAATAAGAGAGGAAGAAAGGAACAAAAGATACACAAAACAACCAGAAAACAATAAACAAAATGACAGAAATAAGTCCTCATTTATCAATAATAACCTTGAATCTAAATGGACTAAGTTTGGGCTGGTTGGTTAGCTCAGCTGGTTAGAGCTTGAGTTATAACACCAAGGTCAAGGATTTGGATCCCCATACCGGCCAGCTGCCAAAAATAATAATAATAATGATAAATAAATTACAAGTAAATGTAATAGAATTCTCCAATTAAAAGATATAAACTGGCTGAATGTAAAAACAAAAACAAAACCCAAGTATATGCTGCCTTCAAGAAACCCACTTCACCTGTAAGACACACATAAACTAAAGTGAAGGGATAGAAAATGATATTCCATGCAAAACAAAAAAGAAATGTGAGTAGGAGAAGCTATACTTATATCAGATAAAACAGACTTTAAGTCAAAAACTGTAAAAAGAGACAAAGAAGGTCATTATACAGTGTTAAAGTGGTCAACTCAGCAAGAGTTCATAATAATTGTAAATATATACACCTAATATCAGAGCACCCAGATTTATAAAGCAAATATAATTAGATCTAAAGGGAGAAATAAAATCCAATGTTTTAATAGTTGAGGACTTCAACACCTCACTCACAGCACTGGACAAATCATCTAGACAGAAAACTGTCAAAGAAACATTGGATTTAAATTGCATTACAGACCAAATGGACCTTACAGACATTTACAGAACATTTCACCCAACAGTTGCAGAACACACATTCTTCTCGTTAGCACATGAAAACAGTCTCCGGGACTGACCATATGTTAGGCCACAAAACAATCTCAACAAATTTGGGAGAACTGAAATCATATCAAGTATCTTCTTTGACCACAACAGAATGAAAATAGAAATTAATAGCAAGAACTTTTGAAACAGTACAAATACATGGAGGCCAAACAATGTGCTACTCAATGACCAATGGGTCAAAGAAGAAATTAAGAAGGAAATTAGGGCTGGCCAGTTAGCTCATGTGGGACAGCATAGTGCTGATAACACCAGGTCAAGGGTTTGGGTCCCCATACTGGCCAGATGCTGGGGGGGGGGGGGGATTAAAAAATTTTTTGATTAAAAAAAAAAAAAAAAAAAAAAAA